AGTGCGGACAGACCATCGTGCACTACAGTACCTTCGCGCCCAACCGAACCTCAATCCGCGACAGATTCGCTGGTTGGACTATCTGGAGTCCAAGTTCCACTACACCGTCACGTACAAAAAAGGCGCATCAAATATCGCCGACGCCCTCACCCGTTCTATCGCCCAACTCCACGCCATCCTACTTGCCCAAACCAACCCAATGTTAACAGGCCTATTCACCCACGGATATCGCACCGACCCATTTTTCACGACCGGAAATTCACAGCAACTGGCAGAAGCAAAGGGAGTCTATTACGTAAAAACAGGCACCAACCGCATTTGGGTACCCACGTACTCACTACTGAGGGATCTGTTACAGCAGGAGGCACACGATGGGGTTACCTCGGGTCACTTCGGCGTAGAAAAAACGCGACAGCAACTGCAGCGGTATTACTACTGGCCGGAGCTGTTGACCGACGTACAGCACCACGTGGGCTCGTGCCCTACATGTCAGGTGATGAAGAGCTCGCGAAAAAGAAAGGCGGGTCAGTTGCAGCCGATTCCACCGCCCGAGCGGGCCTGGCAGCAACTTACCATGGATTTCGTCATGGGGTTACCTTCGAACCCTGGGGGTAACGACGCGGTAATGGTCGTCGTTGACAGACTGACGAAAATGGCTCACTTCGCTGCGTGCAGGAAATCGATCTCCGCCGAAGAAACCGCTTGCCTGTTCATCGCAACCGTCGTTCGACTGCACGAGATACCAGCCGCGATAATCAGCGACTGCGACACGAAGTTTACTAGGAACTTCTGGAAGAACCTTTGGGAGCAGTTCGGGACCAGGCTACAGTTCAGCTCGTCGTACCACCCCGAGATCGACGGTCAAACGGAGCGGACAAACCAAACCATGGAGCAGCTGATCCACGCCACGTGTGACGACTCGACGATATGGGTGTGAATCAAGAAAACAGGAATGAGATGACTAAGTGAAAGTTGGGTACAAAAGGCAAACCCTAGGCAACTGTACCCCATATGTGCTACCCCACTATAGCCTACAGTAGCTATGTCATATAACTCTGACACACCCCCATAGGCAAAGTAGGGGAGAACAAGGGGTCACAAGACCAGTCAAGCAAAGCAAAGCAAGCTCAGGGTGGATCACAAAGTCACCACACATTCCGAGCACAAGTTCAAGGCCACAAGGCCAGTTCACATGCAGGATTACATATATATATAAGGCTAGACAAGCAAGAGCAGGAGTATATATATATGCAACAGTACAAACAAGGTCAAGAGGTGAGCAAGTGAGGCAAGGTAGGTACAAGACCCAGCTGAGTACAGAAGCGCTGATGATCACAAGGCGCAAGTGCCTTGGTGAAGATATCAGCAGTGTTGGCCTCAGAGGCCACGTACGCAAGTCGCAGCTGACCACGCTGCTGTAGCTCACGAGCAAGGAAGTAGCGAAGAGCAATGTGCTTCGTTCTGTGCTCCAGTCTCTGCTCTCGACACAAGGCCAGCATGGCCTTGTTGTCTACGTAGAGCACTGGAGGAGAACGAGGCGGCTCTCCGAGGTCAGTCAGCAGGTAGGTGAGCCAGCGAAGCTCCTGTGCAGCCATGGCCCCGGCGTAGATCTCAGCCTCACAACTGGAGCCGAGAACAGAAGACGAGCGAGTAGCCCGCCACGAAACAGAGCCGGAACCAAGGCTGAAGGTGTAACCCTGTGACGACCGCTGCGTAGCCTGGTCGTCAGCCCAAGAAGCGTCTGCGTGTCCAGTGAGGACCACTGGACTCTGCCCTCCAAGCACAAGCCCCATGCCCGACGTACTGCACAAGTAGCGCAACACCCTCTTCGCTGCAGCCATGTGCTCCGGTCTGTGTCTCCCAGGAGCAACATAGCGTGCAAGAATGCTAAGAGAGTATGCAAGGTCAGGTCGTGTGCAGGTCATCAGGTACATGAGGCAGCCAACAAGCTCTGGGTACGGGCCACTCGACTCTACGGACTCATCCGAAGGCAGAGCTGAGAGCGAGTGGCGAGTAGGCAGAGGAGTGGCCTGAGGCGAGGAGTACGTGAAGCCGAAGCGCTGAAGGACCTGCTGCACCATGTGTGACTGAGTCAGGGTAATGGTGCGGCGTGCTCTGTTCCGGGTGATCTGCAAGCCAAGGTAGCTGCGCAGTTCACCCAGGTCTGTGCACGTGTGTCTCTTCTGCAGCTCGAACTTCACGTGGGCGAGTCCAGCAGTGTCAGCTGTGGCAAAGACCAAGTCGTCGACGTACACGAGGATGTAGAACGGCTGCAAAGAAGTGTCGGTGCGCAGAAACAGCGACGGGTCGGCAGTAGAGGGAGCAAACCCAAGAGCCGCAAGTGTAGTCCTCAGTGTGTCGTGCCACTCACGCGGTGCCTGGCGGAGACCGTAGACTGGCCGCCGGAGGCTCCACTGGGTGCCAGGAGGAAAAGACCCAGCGAAGCCAGGTGGGCGACGCAGCCAGATCTCCTCGTGCAGGCTGCCCTGCAAGAAAGCAGTGCTGAAGTCAAGAGAGTGCAGCTCGTAGTCGCGGTGAGCAGCTATGTGCAGCAGTACCCGAAGAGTGGTCATCTTCGGGGTGGGAGAGAAGGTCTGAAAGTAGTCAACTCCCTGCCGCTGACTGAAGCCACGAGCCACGTAACGCGCCTTGAAGACAGGCGGAGAACCCGGCGGCCGCTTCACCCTGAAAATCCACATGCCACTGACGATGTTCGCCCCAGGTGGGGGAACCTCGTCAACGTAGGTGCCTGTGGACTTCCAGGAAGCCATCTCTGCGTCCATAGCTGCCTGCCACTGAGAGGAGTAGGGACCCTCTATCGCCTCCGCGTAAGAGCGCGGAGTCGGGATGTCAAGTGCATCCGGGTCTCCCTCAGGGGTAAGCAGTACGGACACGAGATGAGGTGAAGCAGCAGCCAAACACTGGAACTCCTCCTGCCTGTCCTCAAGGACGTCCGTGCCAAGGGCACACTCACCCCCGACGGACGGAGGACAGACAGACTCAGACTCAGCAACAAGACTAGCAGCGTAGTCTAGACGACAGCGAGCAGCAAAGTCGACGAGCTCAGTAACTAGGGCAGACGCAGCAGTGGACTCAAAGGAAGGGTCAGTGACAACAGTAGCAAGGAGACGCGTGACAGTAGGACTGGCAGCACGAAGAGAGTCCGACTCCGGGTCAGGAAGAGCAGGAAGAGAGGACTCATGAGGAGAAGGCAAAGGGGCACGCAGAGGAGCAGTGGACGGACGCAGAGACATCCGGTGCGTGCCAGGGACAGGAGGAGGACGCTGACGCGAACCACGAGCACTAGTGCGAGCAGCACGGACAGGCGACGCAGGGCGAGACGCAGGCTCACGACGCTCAGCAAGACCTCCAGTAGGACCAGTGTAGGGAGAAGGAGCGGGCAGTGGGGAGGCCGGCTGTAACTGTAACTGTGACGGGACAGGCTGTGGACACGCTAAGGGAGGAGGAGGACCAGTAGAAGGCGGGAGACCAAGAACCTGCTGAAGGAGCGGAACGAAGTACGGCCGAGGCCGCGCGGCGACTCCAGACACAGCAGGGACAGCACCAGTACCCCCAGCGGCAGCACCAGCGCCAGCAGCACCTCCAGCTCCAGTATCTCCAGCAGCACCGGTAGCACCCCCAGCAGGACCGCCTCCAGGACCGACAGCAGTAGCCTCAGCGCCAACACCCTCAGCAGCTCCAGCTCCAGTCGTACCCGCAGGCCCAGCAGCTCCAGTACTCCCAGTACGAGCACCTCCGGGACCCGCGGCACCAGCACCCTCAGCAGCCGAAGAACCTCCAGCTCCAGCAGCACGCCTCCAGCGCCGGGCAAACCACTCGCGCAGCTCCTGTGGAGAGAGTGGCTCCCGCCGAGACGAAGCACCCGGAGAACCTCCAGGCTCAGCACCGCCAGACGCCACACGAGCAGGCCCAGCTCCCTCAGGCTCCGCACCCCCAGGCTCAGCACCTCCAGGCGTAGCACCCCCAAGCGTAGCACTCCCAGGCTCAGCACCCCCAGGCTCAGCACCCCCAGTAGTAGCACCCCCAGGCTCAGCACCCTCAGGCTCAGCACCCCCAGTAGTAGCACCCACACGCTCAGCACCCCCAGAGTCAGCACCCCCAGGCTCAGCACCCTCAGCAGCACCAGAGTCACCAGTAACCTCGACAGGCTCGACTGCGTCTACCTGGGACACACCTGAAGGGGCAGGACCCTGAGGGGGGAGGGGGTCTACCGGGGGGGGACCTGGGACAAGGAAGAGCGGTGGCGGGGGGAGGGACGGAGTGCGGTAGGGGAAGAGGCGGTAGTAGGGGACCGACTCGTCAAACGTGACGTCCTGGGAGGACAGGACACGGCGAGAGGTGGGGTGGTAGAACTGCCACCCTGGCGCGTCAGGGGGGGAAGCCAAGGAAGACGCAAGGAGCAGCACGAGGGGACAGCTTGTCCGCAGACAAGTCGCGGACAAACGCCCGAGATCCCCAGACACGGAACGCAGACGCATCGCCAACCTTCCCCGTCCACAGCAAAGCTGGGGAGGTCTCCGGCATGGAGACCCTGGGGTGAAGGTTGATCTGATGCGCCGCGTACCGAACCGCAAACGGCCACAGAAAATGGGGGGCAGCCGCATGCATCATGGACGTACGGGCGACATCCATGATCATGCCAATGCGGCGCTCAGCAATCCCATTTTGCTGTGGAGAGTCCGGAAGCGTGAAGGTCTGGCGGATGCCTCGTGCACGACAGTAGGCTCGCAGAAGGCCAGAGGAGAACTCTCCACCTCTGTCAGAGTGCAGACGCTGAACAGGAAAGTCCGAGCCGAAGCTCTGCCTGAGCTGGAGACGAGCTGCGCGGATCCAGTCGATCAACACCTCAGTGACATCACCCTTGCTGCGTGAAATCGTCCTTGTGGCGTGACTGCGCTGCCAGTACTGCCTATCGCGGGGGGTGGGGATGGGGGTGTGGGGGGTGGCGGGTGCAATAGATATATTAGTTGTATTCCTCATCATGCTGTGTGAAGTCGTCCTTGTGCTGGCACTGCACTGCTTGCACCGCCTGTGAGAGGAGAGGGGGGTGAAGGGGGTGAAGCAGCAGCAAGGGGGGTGAAGCAGCAGCAGAAGCAAAGGGGGGCGACAGCAGACATGGTGCTGATCTGCTCGTCATGCTGTGTGAAATCATCCTTGTGGCGTGACTGCGCTGCTTGCACCACCTGTGCATGGAGAGAAGGGGGTGGGGAAGTGGGAGGGCAGGGGATTGGGGTAGGCGTGACTGCGCTGCTGGCACCGCCTGTGCAGGCAGAGGCGGGGGGGGGGGGAGTGGGAAGTGGGAGGATGGCGATTTTTTTTGGATCGGAGAGGGGGCGGGTATGCACATGGGAGGGTGAGATACACTTTGACCTGTATGGGATGTGGCAAGCGCAAAGCACACTTGCTCACAAGCAATCCTCTCAGAAAGCCTCCGCATGCCTGGAATGAAGAAATGTTTTGAGACGTCTCAAAACACTTCTTCAATCACTTGCTCACAAGCAATCCTCTCAAAAAGCCTCCGCATGCCTGGAAGGCAAGGCACACTTGTCTCGCATCCTCGTGCATCCTCGTGCATCCTCGTGTGCCATGCCAACACACCCCAAGTGCACGCATGCCTGGAAGGCAAGGCACACTTGTCTCGCATCCTCGTGCATCCTCGTGCATCCTCGTGCATCCTCGTGTGCCATGCCAACACACCCCAAGTGCACGCATGCCTGGAAGGCATGGCACACTTGTCTCGCATCCTCGTGCATCCTCGTGCATCCTCGTGCATCCTCGTGCATCCTCGTGTGCCATGCCAACACACCCCAAGTGCACGCATGCCTGGAAGGCATGGCACACTTGTCTCGCATCCTCCTGTGTGCAGGTGCGTTTTGAGTCGACTCAAAACACAACCAGCAGAGCCAAGGTTTGGTATGCCATGCCAACACACCTGGAAGGCACACACACCTGGAAGGCACAGTCGGCTCGCATCCTCCTGTGTGCCGCCACCAACAGCCCAGCCTTTGTTTGAGGAAGCTTCCACCCTTTTTCCGCTCCGCCCGCCCCAATTCCGTCCACCGTCGCAACCTCCCTCCCGCCTCCCCTTCCCCTTCCACCCCCCCCAGCCGCGTCCCCTTTCCCCTTTCGCCGACCTGCCCCCCTCCCCCTACCTGCGCCCATGGCTGCTATTTCCTTCCCCACAACGGCCTTCCCTTTTCCCCCAACCACAATCGCCCCTGCTTCAGCACAATCGCCCACCAGTCTCCCTCTATTCCTCGCCGCACTGCGGCTCTCCCCCCTACAAATCTCAATCTCACCCATCTCCACCCCTTCCAACCCCTCCCCGCCTTCCCCTGCACCATCCGCACCTCCCCGAGGCCCAATCCCGACACAAGCAGCAACAAACGCAGCATGGGATGACTCCCCAACCGGCACCCCTCGCTGCTGTTGCTCCTGCCCCTGCTCCTCCTGCCGCCCCTCCTCCTCCCCCCTCACACCCCCTCCAATCAACCGCCTCTGCCTTTCCCTCCGTCTCGGCGGGGTCGGAAACTGCTCATGGTGCCGGTTAAAGCACTCAGTCGCCGTCTTCCCAGTCACCCACAGCGCCACCCTCTCCCAGAACCCGCTTTCATGCGGATTCACAGCACTCATGGCCTCGTGGTACGCTCTCACTTGACCCGCCGTCCACCCCATGTGATCCAGGGCAGGAGCGGCGCCAGGAGCGAAAGCAGGAGCAGAGACGGGGCTTTCAGGGGGATCATCTTGAGAGGGGTGGTTCTGACCGCGGTGGTTCTGATTGGCCCGGTTTCTAGGGGCGTGGGACGGTGAAGCCATAGGGTTACCAGCAGCGGCAGCGGCAGTGGCAGAAGCAGAGGCGGAGGTTGAAGCAGAGGGGCGATTGCGAGTTGATTCGGAGATGTTGACAGAGGGAAGAGGGGAGGGTGGGGGAGGCGCTGGGACCAGGGCAAGGCATTGGGGGTCGTGGGATGGGGATGGGGGATTGTGGGGTGATGATGGAGGAACATAGGATGGGGATGGGGGCATATGACAATCATCCTTCCCCTTCCCCACCTCCTTCCCCTTCCTTCCCCCCTTCCCCTTCCCTTCCCCCTTCCCTTCCCCCTTCCCTTCCCCCTTCCCCTTCCCTTCCCCCTTCCCCTTCTCTAGTCCCTTCCCCTTCCTTCCCCCGTTCCCCACATCCCCATTATCCCCTCGAGCAATCCTAGCCATCGATCTGGTCACTCTCACACTCCTCCTTTCCATTTCCTGCACCTCAACTCTCTTTCTTTTAAGAACATTCGCCCTCCCGTTCGCATCCCCATTCGCTTTCCCCTTCGCTTCCCCATCCCCTTTTCCCTTGCTTTTCCCCCCCTCTTGCTCCGCCCCTCCCCCACTCCCACCCAGTCCTCCATTCCCCTCCTCAACCCTCCCCACATCCCCCACACCAGCCGCCCCCACTCTCCCCTCCTCCCCACCCACACCTACTCTCCCCTTCTGCCCAGGCCTCGAGGTTCGGCACATCCGAGCCAGAGCAGCAGTCTTGGCAGCCCTACCAGGCACAGTTCTTCCTCCCGCCATTGTCCCATCAACGGTTCTCCCAGCTCCCCTCAACCCACTCGCTAAAGTCACACTTGTTACAGCATCCTTATCCGCAGCCTCCATTACAGGAGCTTCAACAACTTCCTTCTCCCTTCCATCCTCCCCGTTCCCTTCCACTTCTCCCTCCCCTCCACCCTCCCCTCTTCCCTCCTCTTCCCCCTCCCCTCCACCCTCCCCTCTTCCCTCCTCTTCTCCCTCCCCTTCACCCTCCCCTCTTCCCTCCTCTTCTCCCTCCCCTCCTGCGCCGCCATATCCATGCCCTTCCTCTCCACCCTCCATTTCCTCCTCCGTTCCTTCCTTCTCTCTCCTCTCCTCTCTCCTCTCCTCATCGCCCTCCCTCACCACCTCTCCACCCACATCTCCCTCCCCGCTTCCCCCCTCCTCCCTCCCACCCCCTCCTCCCTCCTCCACCACCGCCTCTCTCCCCCAATCCGCCTCCTCAGTCAAATCTATCATATCCTCTTTATCCTGCCCGCCTTCCCCACACTCTCCCCTCCGCCTAGGAGACTTTCGAGTTGCTTCAGTAGCCACCACTCTCCCCGCCCCTCCCTTTCGAGCAGAATTAACCAAACCCTCTGCTTCGACCCCAACTTGGGCACACCTCCCCCTCCCTCTACGCGACTTTCGAGGTGATTCAGAGGCCACTGCTTTCCCCGCCCCTGTCTTTGCAGCAACACCTTCCGCCTCAACCCCCGCTTGAGCAAACCTCTCCCTCCCCCTAGGCGACTTTAGGGCCAATTCAGTAGCCACCGCTCCTTCCCCACCTGTCCTTCCAACCAAAGCACCCACTCCCTCCTCGTCATCCACCCCTTGAGCACACCTTCCCCTCCCCCTAGGCGACTTCGACTTCTGGGCCGATTCAGTAGCCACTGCTCTCCCCACACCTGTCATCCCAGCCGAGGCACCCACACCCCCCGCCTCAACCCCCCCTCGCCCGCAACCCTTCCTCCCCCTAGGCGACTTCCGGGCCGATAAAGAAGCCGCTGCTCTCTCCCCATGTGCCTCTCCAGCCGTAGCACCCACATCCTCCGTCTCAACCCCCCCTTCCCCTTGAGCACACCTCCCTTTCCCCCTAGGCGACTTCCGGGCCAACTCAGAGGCCACTGCTCTCTCCCCATGTGCCTCTCCAGCCGTATCACCCACACCCCCCGCCTGAACAACTTCTTCTTCTTGCCCTTTCCGCCTCCTCTTGCTCTTCTGCTTCTCACCCACCTCCCTCGATCCATCCCTCTCTGCGCCATTCCCTTCCCCTTCCTCCTGCTCTTCCGCTCCACCCTGCTCTTCCATTCCCTCTTGCTCCTCCCCATCGCGAATCAAATCCCCAAGCAAGGCTGCAAAGAGCAGTGGGTAGCAGTGTGGTTGGCAGTGGCACGGACATATAAAAACACAAGAATAAGGAAGAATTAGACAGTAAAATTAATGGACAAAAAAGTGGACGAATCAGCAAGCCAAAACAGCTTGAACCAAGGAATGGCAATGGGGATGTGGCAACCACACACCTGTTACCTGAAGTGTGGTAACCACACACCTGTTACCTGAAGTGTGGTAACCACACATATGGTAACCTAATTGTGGCAACCACACATCTGGTAACCCGCATACCCTTCCTGATCATCTTCAACTCCTCTGCACGTGTGGTTGGCTGCAGTCCAAGCAAGACAGAAGGTCGCTCCACATCCTGCAGCCAATGCAGCAAGTAACGCAACGAGTAATGTAGCAAGCAGAAAGAGAGGAATAAAATCAAGAGAATCAGGGGTTGAGAAGTGTGGTTGGCTGCAGTCCTAGCAAGACAGAAGGTCGCTCCACATCCTGCAGCCAATGCAGCAAGCAATGCGTGAGATCAAGAAGATACAGAAAGAGAGGAATACAGCAAGGAAATCAAGTGCTGAGATGTCTCAAGCCCACCTTTACAAAAAAACAACGCACGAGGGTGACAGTACTAGGCAGGAATAGAGGCAAGGAGGCAAGAGCGTGAGGTAGGCAGGGAGCTTTCAAGGCAGCACAAAGCAGATGGTGGTTCAGGAATTGAGAACCTGGTATGAGTGTGCCACGTGTCACACGCCAGTTGCCCTAACGGAAATCTAACGGAACGTTGCTGCCTCAAAGACACACCTCAACGCTAACTCTCCCCCAACACAAAGCTGAACACTCACCACTGGACTGAAAATTCTCTCATGCAGCCAGTAGGCCAGGGGACGGAAGCGCGGGCGACCTGCGGGCAGCAGCAATGCATAGAGAACAGGTGGGGACACGGGTTTGGGAGGATGGGCACAGGGACCGGGCAGAGGAACGAAGGGAAGGTTTTGAGACGCCTCAACCCGGGGATAGCGAGCATATGGAGCAAGGGAATGAGGGAGTGAAGGAATGAGAGAACCAGGGTGCGAGCATTGGGAGACAGAGAACACGTGAAGGAGGGAGGGAATCACCCTTATGCAGCAAGATTGCACCCGCTCTATATCACACCAGCCTAACCCTAAACGCCAAAACATGGATTCAGGTTAACAGCAGAACCGTGTTTTTCAGGCAACTAAAAAATTAGGGTTTCTGAGGCGGGTGAACACGGCCTTAACCCTATAAGCCAGAACAAGGTCCAGTCCAGGGTAGTAAGTCAAAATCGGGTTTGGCTAAAATTCAAAGCATAAAATGTGCAGCAGGGGGGCGCTAGATGGGAGTGTAAGGAGCGGGAAAAAAACGAGATGCGGAGGGTGGCAGGAAGGAGAGCGAGACGGCTGGTGGGAAGGAGAGTGAGGTGTGCGGCAGGAATGAGAGTTTGAGGGGATTCGCACCACTCCTTGAGTATTCCACTACAATGCCAGGGCCAATGGTGGCGGGTCTGGGAGGTCTAGAGTTGGAAGCACCCCCTCCAGCTGGGGTATTCATGTGAGAAGCCGCACGGCTGGGTTTCCGGGAGTGTAACAAGTTCTTGCTGCCTTTGTGGGAAGGCTGGTGCGAAAGTGGGTGGGGAGGCGGGTGAGAAGGTGGGTGGGACAGTCGGTGGGGGGCGGTGGCAGGCGGAGGGGGAGGAGTGGAGCAGCGACGACGTGAGGCAGCACGAGGAGGTGTGGCAGGTAGTGGCGAGTGGGAAGGAGCTCGCACGCTGGGGGATGGTGCATTGGCCGCGTTGGTAGCGTTGGTAGCGTTGGCAGCAGTGGCAGCACCAGCAGCAGTGGAGCGTTGGGGAAGCGAGGAGGCACGGGGAGGTGTGGCAGGTAGTGGCGAGTCGGGAGTAGCATTGGTCGCGTTGGCAGCAGTGGCAGCATTGGCAGACCGTGTGACATTATCAGGCGAAGCCACACCAATGGGACTCCCAAATGCAGCAGCAGTTGTTGCTGCTGCAGGTCCAGTCCCTGCCCTCACTTCTCTCACTGCCCTTAGTTCTCTCACTGCCCTCACTACACCCACTGCTCCCACTTCCCCCCTCACTGCTTCCTCTGCTCCCACTGCTCTCCCTGCAGTGACTGACGCCCCTGCAGCCCCACACGGAGCATCATTTGAAGGAAATGCATCTCTTGCATCCACGCGCCTACATGCTTCCTCCTCACCAGCTGCAACCCCCCCATCTGCGCCCTCGGCTTCCCCCACCATCACTGCTCCCACTACTCCCACTGCAGTCCCTGCATATCCTGCACTCCCACGTGGGGAACTATTCAAAGGAGACTCATCCCATGCACCAACGAGTCTACATGCTTCTTCCTCCCCACCTGCAAACCCCACATCCGCACCCTCCGCCTCTCCCACCCTCACCCCTGCCCGCTTCCGCTTCCTCCCTCCCCGTACAGCCCCACCACACGGCCTAAGCCTTCCCTCCTGAGACCCCTCAGCAGAAGCCCCACCACACGGCCTAAGCCTTCCCTCCTGAGACCCCTCAGCAGAAGCCCCACCACACGGCCTACGCCTTCCCTCCTGAGACCCCTCAGCAGAAGCCCCACCACACGGCCTACGCCTTCCCTCCTGAGACCCCTCAGCAGAAGCCCCACCACACGGCCTACGCCTTCCCTCCTGAGACCCCTCAGCAGAAGCCCCACCACACGGCCTACGCCTTCCCTCCTGAGACCCCTCAGCAGAAGCCCCACCACACGGCCTAAGCCTTCCCTCCTGAGACCCCTCAGCAGAAGCCCCACCACACGGCCTACGCCTTCCCTCCTGAGACCCCTCAGCAGAAGCCCCACCACACGGCCTACGCCTTCCCTCCTGAGACCCCTCAGCAGAAGCCCCACCACACGGCCTACGCCTTCCCTCCTGAGACCCCTCAGCAGAAGCCCCACCACACGGCCTACGCCTTCCCTCCTGAGACCCCTCAGCAGAAGCCCCACCACACGGCCTACGCCTTCCCTCCTGAGACCCCTCAGCAGAAGCCCCACCACACGGCCTACGCCTTCCCTCCTGAGACCCCTCAGCAGAAGCCCCACCACACGGCCTACGCCTTCCCTCCTGAGACCCCTCAGCAGAAGCCCCACCACACGGCCTACGCCTTCCCTCCTGAGACCCCTCAGCAGAAGCCCCACCACACGGCCTACGCCTTCCCTCCTGAGACCCCTCAGCAGAAGCCCCACCACACGGCCTACGCCTTCCCTCCTGAGACCCCTCAGCAGAAGCCCCACCACACGGCCTACGCCTTCCCTCCTGAGACCCCTCAGCAGAAGCCCCACCACACGGCCTAAGCCTTCCCTCCTGAGACCCCTCAGCAGAAGCCCCACCACACGGCCTAAGCCTTCCCTCCTGAGACCCCTCAGCAGAAGCCCCACCACACGGCCTAAGCCTTCCCTCCTGAGACCCCTCAGCAGAAGCCCCACCACACGGCCTAAGCCTTCCCTCCTGAGACCCCTCAGCAGAAGCCCCACCACACGGCCTAAGCCTTCCCTCCTGAGACCCCTCAGCAGAAGCCCCACCACACGGCCTAAGCCTTCCCTCCTGAGACCCCTCAGCAGAAGCCCCACCACACGGCCTAAGCCTTCCCTCCTGAGACCCCTCAGCAGAAGCCCCACCACACGGCCTAAGCCTTCCCTCCTGAGACCCCTCAGCAGAAGCCCCACCACACGGCCTAAGCCTTCCCTCCTGAGACCCCTCAGCAGAAGCCCCACCACACGGCCTAAGCCTTCCCTCCTGAGACCCCTCAGCAGAAGCCCCACCACACGGCCTAAGCCTTCCCTCCTGAGACCCCTCAGCAGAAGCCCCACCACACGGCCTAAGCCTTCCCTCCTGAGACCCCTCAGCAGAAGCCCCACCACACGGCCTAAGCCTTCCCTCCTGAGACCCCTCAGCAGAAGCCCCACCACACGGCCTAAGCCTTCCCTCCTGAGACCCCTCAGCAGAAGCCCCACCACACGGCCTAAGCCTTCCCTCCTGAGACCCCTCAGCAGAAGCCCCACCACACGGCCTAAGCCTTCCCTCCTGAGACCCCTCAGCAGAAGCCCCACCACACGGCCTAAGCCTTCCCTCCTGAGACCCCTCAGCAGAAGCCCCACCACACGGCCTAAGCCTTCCCTCCTGAGACCCCTCAGCAGAAGCCCCACCACACGGCCTAAGCCTTCCCTCCTGAGACCCCTCAGCAGAAGCCCCACCACACGGCCTAAGCCTTCCCTCCTGAGACCCCTCAGCAGAAGCCCCACCACACGGCCTAAGCCTTCCCTCCTGAGACCCCTCAGCAGAAGCCCCACCACACGGCCTAAGCCTTCCCTCCTGAGACCCCTCAGCAGAAGCCCCACCACACGGCCTAAGCCTTCCCTCCTGAGACCCCTCAGCAGAAGCCCCACCACACGGCCTAAGCCTTCCCTCCTGAGACCCCTCAGCAGAAGCCCCACCACACGGCCTAAGCCTTCCCTCCTGAGACCCCTCAGCAGAAGCCCCACCACACGGCCTACCATGCTCTACCTCCACCCCATGCCCCACCATGGGCCCCCCATGTTCCATCAGAGGCACCTCCACCCCATGCCCCATTAGAGGCACCTCCACCCCATGCCCCATTAGAGGCACCTCCACCCCATGCCCCATTAGAGGCACCTCCACCCCATGCCCCATTAGAGGCACCTCCACCCCATGCCCCATTAGAGGCACCTCCACCACATCCGGACTCGCACTACCAGACGGATCAGCCTCTTCCTCCCTGCGCCCTTCGTCCCTCACCCCTCCTCTGCGCCCCTTCTGTAAACGCGTTTTCATAAACTCAGCAGTCACCCCACTCGGCCGGCCAACCTCTTCCTTCCTCTGCCCTCCGTCCCTCACCCCCCCTCTCTGCCCCTTCCTCAAACGCGTCTTCATAAACTCAGGAGTCACCCCACCTTCCTTCCTCTGCCCTCCGTCCCTCACCCCTCCGACCCTCACCCCTCTCTGCCCCTTCCTCAAACGCGTCTTCATAAACTCAGGAGTCACCCCACTTGGCTGCCCAACCCCTTCCTTCCTCTGCCCGCCGCCCCTCACCCCTCCTCTCAGCCCCTTCTGTAAACGCGTCTTCATAAATTCAGGAGTCACAGTCATGCCGCATGTCTGGTCCCCTCTCTCCTCCCTCTCACACCCCGCCTCATTCCCCCACGCCTCTTCCACTGCACCGCATTCCTCTTCCACACCACACGCTCCCTCCTCACCACTCTCCACCTCACATCCCCACATCTCCTCCACCCCACACTCTTCCTCATCCCCGCAATCGTCCTCACTCCCACACTCCGCCCCACAATCCCCCAACTCTTCACTGTCGCTCCCTCCCGCATTCCCCTCACCCTTCTCCTCACATGCAATTCTTCTGCCCTTTATTTTTTTCATAGCTTCCACGTCACCACCGTTCCCTCCCACAACCCCCTTGACCTTTGCCTCACCTGTCACTCTCCTCCCTGGCCTCCCCTTCCCCGCCCTCGCCCCCCTCCCTTCTGCCGTAGCCCCTCCCCCCACCTCTCCTTCCTTCGACTTCGCTTTCCTCCCTTTCGCAGGTCGTCCTCTCGCCCCTGCTTTCGCCCCTCCTTTCGCGCCTCCTTTCGCCCCTGTATTCGCACCGACCTTAGCCCCTCGTTCTAAGCTCTGCCGTTTCACCCACAAGACATCTCGAGCCTTGGCCTTGCTCCTCCTCTCAGCCCTCTCCGCCCTCTCTCCCCTCTTCGCACTCTCCCTCCTCTCCTTCCTCAATTTCGCTGCTGCTCCAGCTGTCCCCGCAGCCCTCCCTTTATCCAACGCATCCGCTATAACCTTTAACGGAGCCCTTCCAGACGAACCAGCAGCACTACCCCCCCCGGCCTTACCTCCTCCTGCTGCTCGTGTTACGGCTGCTGCTCCTGATGCTGCACCTGATGCTGCTCCTGACGCTGCTCCTAAAGCTGCTCCTGCATCTCGTACTATCGCTGCATCTGACGCTGCTGCTGCAACCACTACTTGCCCTCTCTCTCCCTTACCCTTGCGTCCCCTCTTACCTGCTGCTACAGCAGGCCCTAACACTACCCCCTTGCTTCCATTCTCTTCCCACCTCCCTTCCCCACTCCCTTCCCCACTCCCTTTCCCACTACCTTTCCCCTTTCCCCTCCCAATCCCTGTCTCTTTCCCGGTCCCTTGTCCTTTCGCTGTCCCTGTTCCTGTCCCTTCCCCGGCCCCTTCACCCGTTCCCCTCCCATTCCCTTTTCCAACCCCGTTCCCTTTCCCTACCCCTCTCCCTCTCCCTCTCCCTTTCCCTTTCCTCGGCGTTGCAGCTTCTTTCAAGGCAGCAGCAGCGGCCACAGCAGCAGGTCTTCGCCTCCCTTTAGGCGGGCTCCATTTAACCAGCGCCCGGCGGAAGCTCAGTTGCCTCACCACTGCCAACCGCGCTTGACCCCTCGTTCGCACTTCTTTCCTCGTTGACCGTCCGCCCGTGTGTTGCTTCTCGTCCTTCTCCCCCTGGAACGTACCACCTGCCTGCGGTTCTGCTACCCCCGACCGCCCCTGCTCGTTGCCCGGGGTTCCACACCCACCTTCCATGCCCGTCCTAGCTGAATCTCCCGCGCCCTTCCCGGTTCTCCTTCTCCCCTGCCCCACCCTACCCCTCCCCACCGACTTGCGGCCCGCTCGCCGCCTCCCCTTCCCCCCTTCCCCTTCCCCTTCCCCTCGTGCGCGACCCTCTTCCGCATCCGCTGCGCTATCCCTTCCGCCTACCGCTGCTCTAATTTCCGAACCATCCTCCGCGCTATCGCCCCCCCGGTCCCCATCCCGCGCGCCTACCAGCGCTGATTCACCAAACCACCCGTCGGGAGTCCGGGGCCCCTCCGCCCCGCGCAAACCCTCCGCGCTTTCCCCCGCGCCTTCCCCTCCGCTGCGAGCCCCGCGCGGGGCGGAAACGCCCCTTCCGCCCGCTTCCACGGGATGCCAGCCAACGAACGCGCCTACTGCAGCTACGCCCGCGTGCATGCTTTCCTCTACCTCCTCCTCCGTTATATCCATGCTCACCGCATCGTCCTCTATTTCTACGCGCAATTCATCCCCTTCAATCTCCACATCAACCTCCTCCTCCTCTTCCTCCTCTTCCTCCTCCTTCTCTGCCTCCTCCTTCCCTCCCTCCTGTGCGCTCAACTCGTTCTCTCCAATCTCCACAACCACCACCTCCTCAGCCGCATCGCCTGCATCTGCTGCAATTTCCGCGTCCTCCATGAATTTCCCACACAAATTTTCCTCTTCTTCCATCTCTACCTCTACCCGCTCGTTTCTAGCCTCTTCGTTACGAGCATCAACAACGGAAACTCCCGCACGAACGCGCTGCTGTACCTCGTCGTCTACCCCGTTCGTATCATCCGCGTCTCCTTCCCCCGCTATAATACGTTCAGCGTAACCCGTTACGAAGCCGTCGGACTGCGCTGAAAAATAACTATCCTCTAATAAATCGCTAGCAGCTACGCCGCGCGTTTCAGACGGCGAGCGACGCGGTTCAGGATTGGTACGAACATTTTCGGATTCCGTGCCGTGCGTTTGCGGTTCTAAGCCGTCAATTTCAGCCGCATCTCTAGATGATGCGCCTGTCGGAGGCGCGCCTGCCGATACCACAGGTGCTCGGATCCTATCTGAAGAATCTCCTACTTTTTTGCTCCTACTAGTAGGCTGGTTAGTCTCTATTCTGGTCTCGGCAGAGTTCCCACGCGCAACGAGGTTACCCATTTTGCTAACACCGGCCGTGCGATCATCTTCACCAGTAGAAGATATACAGATCCTGCGTGGGCCTGTGCAAGGTAACATCCTATCGAGATTCGAACCGGCGACAATTTTACCTGAGGAGTACACACCCGTTTCCTTTCTGGCTGCCGACTTTCCGAGAAGGCTATCCTCATCGCTTCGACTTCTCCGTTCGCCAGGTGGCGTCATCTCTGCGAATCGTTTTCTCGAGGCAAGATTTTCAGCTCCCTCGCTTTCTCGAGCGCTTCAGGCAGGCTCCTGTTTCAGCGACAGTCCAACAGGCCAAAAGTATTGGCTAACTTTGCAACTGAAAAAACGGAATTTTCGTAACCTTGTTACTGCCGCTAAGGTGCGTTGGCGATTTCATCGAACTTCTGCGAGTGTCTAGCGATCAGGCTGGCGACGGTAGCCTGTGTGCGGTGCGACAATATCGAGAATACGACGACAGATCACTAAGTGACACGTTGCAACTGGAGGAATACCCTGAAAAGGTTATGTACCACTATGCCTGAAAAGGATGGTAACAACCTACGGCAACGAAGCTATGCTGGAAACTAGAAACGCAAGCGGTGAGAAACAGGTCAAATAAGGACGGAGAGGAGAGGTTGCTGCGTTTGCTGTTGCACGTTCGTGTTCGCTGGCTTTGAGCGGAGAGACCAACGCAACGATGACAGAGGATTGATTGAACGAGACTCCTGTGATTGGAGGAACAGTCCCAAGGTTCTGAATTTGGCGGGAAGTCTGACATTTCTGAAATCGTGGGGCCCGTCCCGCCAATTTGTCCATCAGCCGGTTGCGGTTCAGTGTGTTTCTACACGGTAACAAAAAGATATATGCTTTACCGCTATGGACCGCAACGAACCAAAACAAAACCGAGAGAATCGAGAACCAGGGAGGAGGACATCCCCCAGATGTCTGTACTCGCTATTTTACAGGACCCGTTCACGCACTGTATCATGAAGAAATGCCTATGTGCTGGGGAAATTCAATCTCTAATGGTGCAACCACCAATGTTCAATTTCCTTCAAAATTAAAGCCGTTGACCCAAATTGCACAAGTTTTAAAAAGTTGACGTGAGGGAGTTTTGGTATCGCAATGGCTGTCGTCACGGTGATTGGAATTATTCGTATTGTGTGATGTTATGAATGAAGTCTCATTATGGTGTGGTCTGACAATTTTGTTATACCGCGTACGAATTCGAAACGACACTTCCACTGATAATGGTGCCTAACGTGAACTTTTCGCACGGTAACAACCAGAAGCGAAATCACAAATTCCACCTGATGCGGCGGCATCTTGTTTTAGCAACGAAACACTCGGTAGTCCCAGTGGCAGGGATGGGGAGCAGCAGAAGTATCCGTTGACTTCGGGAAGATTCTGATCCGATGAATTCCTGTTCGATCTGCGCTTCCTGTAATCTGCCTGCTTCCGTTTCCTCTCGATTCTGCTTCTGCAAGGAGATATGACTGCATGCAAGAAGTTAGAAGGAGCTATCTTTCTGCACTACAACAAATTCACGCCTCTATCGAGTTGTCGTTCTTGGCGTACTAGGAACCATTAGTAACCTGCGACGCGCTCATGCAGTTTCTTCCTTTTTCGCTATATCCTTCTCCTTTTCGCCATGGCAAGTCGTACCTCGCCACGGCTATCCTGCGCGTGGATTTACAGACTAAGATACACATTTAGATACATCACGCATTCTTCTACGCCTCGTTCTGAGCCTTTCTTAGCGAAGCCTGGAATCAAATCAACACCTTCTATACCTTCTATACCTTCCTCCCGAAGCCTCTACCAGTTCGGGTTTAACCCACTCCAACCTGCGCAAAGAGCAATCGTCAGGATTCGAACCCCTGATCGGTGCCTCTCTATAGGATGTCCAGTTAGATTTTTGTCCAGATCAGCCGAGGCTCCCGAGACAGAGCGTGTGAACGTGGGACCCGACCCGAGGTTCGATGGCGAACCGGTACTGGCGGTTGGGACGGAGGCTCGGTTGCATACCGGGGGAAGAGAGGAGGGGGAAAGAGAGGGGGGAGAGCTAGGAGAGAGCGAGAGTAGGGGGAAAAAGGAGAAGGTGGTTGGCGGAGGAGGGCGTATGAGGCGTGCGGGACGAGCGGGGAAAGCGGAGGTAAATGATGAAGGAGGGGGGAAAAGGAGTGGAGGGAGGGGAGGAGGAGGGAGGGTAGGAGGAGGGAGGGGAGGAGGAGGGAGGGGAGGATGCGCCGCCGGCGAGGAGGAGGAGGCAGTGGCATTGATTGCTGGAGTGCTGAGAGAGAAATTCGGGCCTCAGATCGTAAGGGAGGAGGAGGAGGTGGGGTTTACGGACGGAAGAATTGCTTATGAGGAGGAGGCGAAGGGAGCAGAAGAAGAAGAGGAAGGGGATGTGGAGCGATTGGAATTAGAAATTGGGGAAGAAGGGGACGAGGGTGAGGGGGAGGAAGCAGAAGTGAAGGAGGAGGAATTTCCAGGAACCACCTCTCGTCGAAAAAACGCACGTGCAACCTCTCTCTCCTCCCTCCTCTCCCTCTACCGCTTCTTCTCCTCCCACCTCGGCATCTCCTCCCCTTCCACTGTCGCTTCCCTCCTCACCAATCGCCCAGCGCTCCTTTGGTCTGATCCCACCAATGACTTGCTGCCACGTGTCCAGCTTCTCCAGTCGTATGGCGTATCCCGCGCCGACATCTCAGTCATCACCATGAGAAATCCATGCTGGTTCCGATCCCCGCTTCCACAGATTCAGGATAAGCTTGACTTTCTCTTGGCTCGGGGCGTCCGCCGTACCAAGCTAGGTTCGGTGCTCTGTAATGCTTCATTCCTCACCAGAATGCAGGCTCGTTCAACGAACCTGGACATTTTGGTGGAAAGAGCAGGGGTTCCTGTGGACAAGCTAAGCATGCTGATCGAGAAAGCCCCAAGAATCCTTTGCAGCAAGGAAGAACCCATACGAACTCGCATTGAGCAACTATCAGCGTACCTGACTGATGGATACGAAGAAAAAAACGTCCGCACCGGGCACCTGAAGCAACACCTGACAAGGCAACATAAGGACAAGAATCGCCTGAGTAAACTCCTTTTGAAGAATCCGCAGCTCCTTTCCTCCCCTAAGATCATCGCCACAAAACTCAGCCTCCTCCAGTCTCTAACCCCCCCTGGCACCCCATCCATAGCAAGCTCGATTCTCCGCCTTGCCCCCACCGTCGTCAACCTCAGCTCGCAGAATCTCTTAGCTAAGTTTCAGTTCTTAGTGGATCTAGTGGGGAAGAAGGCAGCAGGGAGTGCGGTGCGAAGCCATCCAATGATTCTTGATCGATCTTTAGAGAACCTGCAAGGCAAGGTGGCATTGCTGAGCAACCTGATTGGGCAAGAGAACGCGGTGCGTGCAGTGGCGCGGTTTCCTTTGCTGCTGTGTTCAAGCGAAACAAATCTCAAGAGGAGTTTTGGAGAACTTGTGCGAGAAGTGGAAGGGGCATTGGAGAGTGGTGAGGAGACGTTGGAGAGTGGTGAAGAGACGTTGGAGAGTGGTGAAGAGACGTTGGAGAGTGGTGAAGGGGTCTTGGAAATCGGTGAAGAAGATGAAAACAACGCAAGAGAAAATCTTCCCTTTGAGTCGCCTCAAAAGAATGCAAGCGATAGTCCGAAGCAAGGCGGGAGCGGCGCTGGCTTCGGAGCCGGATCCAAGAGCTGGGCGGAAGCAAGGGCAGGAGAAGGAGGCGGTTCTGATGGCAGCGCTGGCACCACAGCCCGTGATCCAATGGCTGAGAGCAGGGCTGGCGCCACAGCTTATGATCTAATGGCTGAGAACAGAACTTGCGCCACAGCCCGTGATCTAGTGGCGCGTCTGGTGCTGAAGCACCCAGCGTCGATCTACTACAGTTGGGAGATGAATACGAGGCACAAGGTGGAGTACTTAGAACATGACATGGGGCTGTCTATAATGGAGGTGCTTGCGTTCCCTAATTTTCTGAATTACAGTTTGGATGCCCGAATCAGGCCGCGACATGTGGCACTGCTGAGCATGGGCTATGAGTTGGTGCCATATAGAGTGATGGCCCTTGAATGGAGAGGTGGACGTAGGAGGGAGAATGTGAAGGACACTGGCGCAGTGTTGGGAAATGGGTTGAAAGAGGTGGAAAAGGGTAACGGGGTGGAAGGATGTGAATGGGTGGAACGAGGAAAAGAGGTGGAATGCGGTAAAGAGGTTGGAGGTTCTAGTGGCCTGGAGTATATTCCAGGCAGCGACAGGTTCGGGACAAGAGCCACGGCGGAAGCGGCGTTGCAGCAGGCACGGAAGGTGTGTTTGGTTCAATTCATCCAGTGCTCGGACAAGCTATTTGAAAAGAGATTTGGGATAGCACCCATTGATTCTCCCATAAATGGGAGCTAATTCCTCAATTAGGTGGAAATCACAAGTACAGGGTTTAGTATCCCAGAAATCTACATTTACTGTAATGTGACGGATATGTAGTAGTTTGAACAGAGCAGAGTGTAGAGGAATGGTTCATTACATGATAAGGGCAAGAGAGGAGGTCCACGCATATGATCAAGTAGTGGCTCTCCATTCACTGTATAAGCACTTCATCTCATATACGGTAAATGGGCATATATCCACAGAATGAGTGCAGTATCTGTTCAAGTTCCCTTCTTCCCAGCTTGAGTTGAGCATTTTTATGTCCCTGAAACTACTTCACGCCAGATACTATGTCCCTCCATTTCAGCTTGGCCTCAAAACTCGGTCGAGACGTCCCATCCCGGCATTATAACAGAACCAACCCAGCATCGTCGTTCACATCACATCGCATCATGTAGCACATCAGCCATAGAGCAAGACGTCGCAACGCTGGTTTGAGACATCCCACCCTGCCAACTCAGCATATTACGATGGTACTCGTCAGCAGCGCTGGGCTGAACGGTCATCCTGACTCCAGCAGCGAGTTTCCCTTCCATCTGCGCGGGTGTAGGGACAGGAGAAAGGTGGGGGAGTGAAAGGAGGAGGAGGATATCAAGGTGGATTCCTGCCCTGCCTGACAAAGACATGGGGTTCTGAGATCGCTCTAATAGATCCCCACGTAGGAGGCATGGCATAGCGTGGCAGCAGCTGTGCTTAGCAAACTGTTGTTTAGTAAACAAAGACATGGGGTTCTGAGATGCCTCTAATCTTGTGAGGGGAAAGAAGGAAAAAGGAAAAAAATAAAAAATAAAGGAAATAAAGAGGCTCCCAGCTCACTCACCTACGAAGGAGGAAGCTTCCCAGAGGGCTCAGGTTGTTAACGTCATCGTCCCCACCCTTGCCATGCCGCCTGTCTGCTCGCCCATCCGCTCCTCCCTCACCCCCCGGTCCCCCAAACTGCCTGCGCGCGTTGGCTTTCAGGTCACGCAAGGGGGGGACCTCCTCTGATGCACTGTGAGTGGAGTGGGAGAAAGACAAAATGCAAGAAATTAGTTACCCCATCCAAACTGCCTGCGAGCGTTGGCTTTCAGGTCACGGGAGGGGGGTACCTCCTCTGATGCTCTGCAAGAGGGGGGAGGGGGGAGGGGGAAGGTGAGGTGGTTGCAGTTGGAAACCTCTTGCTTCAACCCCAACTCCCTGCTTCGACCAAAACTGCCTGCCAGCGTTGGCCTTCACGCAGAATCTCAGCACACATAAATTAAAGGAATGAGAGAGGGTGGGCAAATGGAGGGATCACCTGCCGAGCTTGCCGAGCAGGCTTCCTTCCATCTCCACCCGTGCATCTGCTGCTGCCAGGCCTGTTGCCGTTCGTGCAAGTCCCCTACACTAAAGCACACTACAGCATAACCTTGTTGAGCTAAAAGCTTACCTGCCGAGTTTGCCAAGTAGGCTAGCAAGCAGCAGTTGGCAGGAGCCGGGAGCGCATCGTTCCATCTCCACCAGAGCGTCCGCTGCGTCTGCTGCTGCCCGCACTGCTGCCTGCTCCTGCTGATCCGCTGCCACCTGGTGTGACCAGGGGATTTGAATCAGAGAAGAAAGAAGGGGACATTATCCTTGCTTGCTGCTGCTGCTGTTTCTGTATTTTTTTAGCAGAGGGAGGGGGGGAAAGGGAGGAGGAGGGGGGGGGGGGGGGGGGGGGGGGGTGGGAGGGTTCTTAAACAGACGGTAATAACCGGACCCATTGATTCAAAAGAACCAACTAATTGCGCCATACCTCTTTAAATGCAGGCATGAGCACAAGGGAGAGCAGAGGCGAGGACGACACAACAGCATCCATGCCAGCCACTCGCGCTCCTCCCTGCTCCTCCCCTCCCCCTCCCCCACCGCCCTTCCGCCCCCCTGCCTTGGGTTTTCTGGGACTCCAAAAGGGGAAGGATGGGGAAGAGAGAGGGAGAGGGAGAGGGAGAGGGAGAGGGAGAGGGAGAGGGAGAGGGAGAGGGAGAGGGAGAGGGAGAGGGAGAGGGAGAGGGAGAGGGAGAGGGGTGAGAAATATGGCATCCCATATCATCTCACAGACAACATTGCACATCATCCCAAATAATCTCACAGCACGTACCTTGTTCGAACTGTGCCACTGTCCATGGCATCTCCCCCCCCTCCTCCCCCTCCCCCGCCTCCTCTGCTCGCCCGCCCTCCCCCGCCCTTCTTTCCCCCTTTCATGGCCTTGAGTGCCTCCGCCATGTTCGTTTCCGAGTCCTCCTTTCTTCCGCCCTCCTCAGACTGAGGAAAGGAATGCGGAAGGAGGAACACAAAAGAGGGACAACAGGGAGAGGGCACAGAAGGAAGGAACATATGAGTCAACGCAGCATGGCTCTTTCCCCCCTTCATGGCCTTCAGTCCCTCCGCCATGTTCGTTTCCGAGTCCTCCTTTCTTCCGCCCTCTGCAGAGTCAGACTGGGGAAGCCAAGGGAGAGTGCACAGAATGAACATCCGAGTTACATTAGCACAATACAATGCCTGATTTAGTGCCTCGGCGCCACTGCCATGCGGTTTATTAAACCAAGGTAAAGCGATGTGGCAGCAGTTCCATGAAGGATTACTACAACGTTTTGAGCCGATTAATGCAGCGTTAATCGCCTGCGACAAAATACATCGTCATCGACAAATCGGGAGCGTCGCGAACAGCTCAAGAGGGAGCTGGAGGTCAACATGAAGCTGCGACGACCTCAAACCTCCTCTACAGATGCATCTGCAACATCTGAAACATCTACGGTATCTACCCCATCTATGAATTCTACTACGAGCTCGAGAACCACGTCGTCGACGACAACAAAAAATCATGGCAATAGGGAACGGCAGGACCGGCCATCTGCCACCCCAGGAGAAAACACAGAGCTATGGGAAATGCCATATGATCCAATCAACGAGACGATCAACGGGTACAACGAGCAACGCCAACCACTTTTGCTCGAGGTGATCTGCAATGGACGACGCCTCCAAGCACTCGTGGACAGCGGAGCATCCCATTCAGTATGCGACAAAGCAAACCTCGAACGCATCAATGAGAAGTACACGCCTTCAAACTTCACAGCTACGATGGTCGACGGAAGCAAATTACAAGTCTACGGCGAAGCAGCGTTACACCTGCAGATGGGTCCTCTTCGCTGGAAACCGACCCTACCTGTCACCAACATCAAAGGGCTAGACTTGATTATTGGGAGAGATTTTCTGAAGAAGTTCAACCCCGAGATCAACTGGGTCACCCGCACGGCGAGTATTTACAATCAAGACAGAAGAGTTCCTCTTCCGAATTGGAGCAACACGGGAGATATTCCGGAGGAGACTCTCGCACGCTTCGAGAAGGACGTGAAGCGAACCATGGCAGGGTTTGTTGCACTGGTTACCAACGAGGACGAAAGAGAGAGAAAAACGCTCGAGCTTCCACCAGCAATCCAAAAACTTCTAGAAGAGTTCGAAGACGTTCTCCCTGACGACCTTCCAGACCAGTTGCCGCCATACCGAACCCACCAGCACGAGATCATCGAAGAACCTGGTTCAAAACCGACCTTCCGAGCACCATATCGACTCAGCCCTACCGAGTTGGCCGACATGAAGAAGCAGATCGAGTACCTTCTGGACAAAGGACTCATTCGACCATCAACATCACCATACGGTGCACCAGTGCTTTTGACACAAAAACCTGACGGAAGCTTACGCATGTGCATCGACTACCGAGCCCTCAACAAGCAGACGATCAAGAACAAGTATCCGATTCCACGGATCGACGATCTACTTGACCAGCTTCGTGGAGCCACAGTATTCTCAAAACTCGATTTGAGATCGGGATATTGGCATATCCGGATGGCGGATAACTCCATCCATAAGACAGCGTTTCGGACACGATACGGATCCTACGAGTACCTCGTCATGCCGTTCGGACTCACCAACGCACCCGCTACATTCTAGGCCGAAATGAACCATATTCTTAGGCCTCTACTCGACGAATGCGTGGTGGTGTACCTGGACGACATCCTGATCTACTCGAGGGACATGAAGCAGCACATTGAACACCTACGACGTGTCTTCGAGATACTTCGACGGGAGAAGTTCTACGTCAAGCTATCCAAGAGCGAGTTTGCCTTGAAGAAAGTTCAGTTCCTTGGACACATGGTGAGCGCTCAAGGAATCCATGTCGACCCAAAGAAGATCGAAGCCGTACGTACGTGGAAGACACCGGAGAACGTGAAGGAACTTCAGCAATTCCTTGGCTTTGCGAACTACTATAATCGGTTCGTGCCACAGTATGCGAAGATTGCAACACCTCTCACCAATCTACTGAAGAAGAATACACCGTTCAAGTGGGAGGATGTGCACCAGCAAGCCATGGAGCAGTTGAAGACCGCACTCACGTCCGCACCCGTCCTGATCCTGCCAGATCCAGAAAAAGACTACGTCATCGAAGCTGACGCTAGCGACCAAGCAGTTGGAGCAGTCTTGATGCAAGACCAAGGGAAAGGACTACAACCAATCGCTTACCTCAGCAAGAAATTGCACGGGGCAGAACTCAACTACCCGATTCACGACAAAGAGGCCTTAGCGATCATCGCCGCATTCAAGACATGGCAATGCTACCTCGAAGGGAGAAAGACCACGGTCTACACTGACCATTGCAGCCTAAAATACCTGAAAACGCAGCCGACCCTCTCCAGACGACAAGTCAGGTGGATTGACTTCCTCGAGACGCACTTCGACTACGACATCGTGTACAAGCCGGGTCACAAGAATAAGGCAGACGCACTGAGCCGGCCTGGACACGTTGCCACCATACAGATTGAGGGGATGAATCCGCTACTCAAGGGACTCTTCACGCACGGGTATACCATCGACCCCGAGATTCCCTTAGCAGAGAAAAAGAAATTGTTGCAGTGGGACCACGACGTCGCACTACGCAAAGGATCAACAAAGATATGGGTACCCAACTACCCGCCTCTTCGGCAGTTGCTTCTCGAAGAATTCCATGACGTGCTTGTGAAGAATGAAACAGGAATGAATGAACAAGGAAAGTGTGAGATACAAATATGAAAGCTGTACCCCTTAGTGTCTACCCCACTACAGTCTACATAGGCTAAGGCATATATATCTGACACACCCCCATAGGCAAAGTGGGGGAGAACTAGGGGTCAAGAGACCAGTCAAAGCAAAGCAAAGCAAGCGCAGGGTGGATCACAACGTCACCACACAGTCTGAGCACAGGTTCAAAGGCCATAAGGCCAGTTCACATGCAAGTTCATATATAAAGGTAAACAAGCAAGTGCAGGTATATAGAGATCACAGTACAAGCAAACTCAAGAGGTAAGCAAGTGAGGCCAAGTAGGCACAAGACCGAGCATAGTACAGAAGCGCTGATGATCACAAGGCTGAAGTGCCTTGGTAAAGATATCAGCAGTGTTGGCCTGAGAGCCACGTAAGCAAGGCGCAGCTGACCACGCTGCTGCAGCTCATGAGCAAGGAAGTAGCGAAGAGCAATGTGCTTCGTTCTGTGCTCCAGTCTGTGCTCCCAACACAAGGCCAGCATAGCCTTGTTGTCTACGTACAGAACTGGAGGAGAACGAGGCGGCTCTCCCAGGTCAGTCAGCAAGTAGGTGAGCCAGCGTAACTCCTGTCCAGCCATGGCCCCTGCGTAGATCTCAGCCTCACAGCTGGAGCTGAGAACAGAAGACGAGCGAGTAGACCGCCACGAAACAGAGCCGGAACCAAGGCTGAAGGTGTAACCCTGTGACGACCGCTGCGTAGCCAGGTCGTCAACCCAAGACGCGTCTGCGTGACCAGTGAGGACCACTGGACTCCGCCCTCCAAGCACTAGCCCCAAGCCTGAAGTACTGCACAAGTAGCGCAACACCCTCTTCGCTGCAGCCATGTGCTCTGGTCGGTGTCTCCCAGGAGCAACATAGCGTGCCAGAATGCTCAGAGGGTATGCTAGGTCAGGTCGAGTGCAGGTCATCAGGTACATGAGGCAGCCAACAAGCTCTGGGTACGGGCCACTCGGCTCTACGGACTCATCCGAAGGCAGAGCTGAGAGCGAGTGGCGAGTAGACAGAGGAGTGGCCTGAGGCGAGGAGTACGTGAAGTCGAAGCGCTGAAGGACCTGCTGCACCATGTGTGACTGAGTCAAGGTAATGGTGCGCCGTGCTCTGTCCCGGGTGATCTGCAAGCCAAGATAGCTGCGCAGTTCACCCAGGTCTGTGCACGTGTGTCTCTTCTGCAGCTCGGACTTCACGTGGGCGAGTCCAGCAGTGTCAGCTGTAGCAAAGACCAAGTCGTCGACGTACACGAGGATGTAGAACGGCGGCAGCAAAATGTCGGTGCGAAGAAACAGCGACGGGTCAGCAGTGGAAGGAGCAAACCCAAGAGCCGCAAGCGTAGTCCTCAGTGTGTCGTGCCACTCACGTGGCGCCTGGCGGAGACCGTAGACTGGCCGCCGGAGGCTCCACTGGGTACCAGGAGGAAACGACCCAGTGAAGCCAGGTGGGCGGCGCAGCCAGATCTCCTCGTGCAGACTGCCCTGTAGGAAAGCAGTGCTGAAGTCAAGAGAGTGAAGCTCGTAGTCACGCTGAGCAGCAACGTGCAGCAGAACCCGAAGAGTGGTCATCTTCGGGGTCGGGGAGAAGGTCTGAAAGTAGTCAACTCCCTGCCGCTGACTGAAGCCTCGAGCCACGTAGCGCGCCTTGAAGACAGGCGGAGAACCCGGCGGCCGCTTCACCCTGAAAATCCACATGCCACTGACAATGTTCGCCCCAGGAGGGGGAACCTCGTCGACGTAGGTGCCTGTGGACTTCCAGGAAGCCATCTCTGCGTCCATGGCTGCCTGCCACTGAGAGGAGTAAGGACCCTCTATCGCCTCTGCGTAAGAGCGCGGGGTCGGGATGTCTGGTGCATCCGGGTCTCCCTCAGGGGCAAGCAGCGTGGACACGAGATGAGGTAAAGCAGCAGCAAAACACTGGAACTCCTCCTGTCGGTCCTCAAGGACGTCCGTGCTAAGAGCACACTCACCCCCGACGGACGGAGGACAGACAGACGCAGACTCAGCAACAAGACTAGCGGCGTAGTCTAGACGACAGTGAGCAGCGAAGTCGACAAGCTCGGTAACTAAGGCAGACGCAGCAGTGGACTCAAAGGAAGGGTCAGTGACAACAGTGGCTAGGAAACGCGTGACAGTAGGACTGGCAGCACGAAGGGAGTCAGACGCCGGGTCAGCAAGAGCAGGAAGAGAGGACTCTGGAGGAGACGGCAAAGGGACACGCTGTGGCGCAGTGGAAGGACGCAGTGCCATCTGATGCGTGCCAGGGACTGCAGGAGGACGCGGACGTGGAACACGACGACTAGTGCGAGCAGTGCGAACAGGCGACGCA